CTGTGCGAGTTTGAGTTCAACATTGGCAATACCCAACAACATCAACAACAAGCTCGGTGAGGTGAGCATATAGCGTATCTTCGATACCAAACCCTCACGCAGTAGTAGTAGTAGTAGTAGTGGTAGTGGCAGTAGTAGCCGGATGCGCCAGTGAGTGATCTGCTCCCCGCCGCGCTTGCATAGGAGTTACAGGCAAGGCTCAAGGGTTCCTGTGTTCTTTGTAGGACTAAGCCGGGCTTAGGGTTCAGAGATTTTCGGTCTTTGGGCTTAAGATTCAGGGGTTAGGGGTTGGGCTCAAAAGGCTTAGCATATACATATACGTACATGTGCGTGCATATATATATATACATACATATATATATATATACATACATACATATATTCACACAGATACACACAGTCTTCACGGTGACGTGAAACACGTTCCCTGGCAATGGCGCTACTTGAGGGCTATAGGATTGAGGGTTTACAGGGATGTTTAGCGGCCATAGGGTCTTGGGGATTGGGGATGTTGAGGATTTGTAAAGGTTTAGGGAGAATGAGGTTAGGATTTAGGGTTTGGTGTTGTAGGGTTTGCTGTTGAGGGCTAAGGGCTGTTTCTCTGGACACAATGTGAAATATCGCCGAGTTCTGCGACAGGAAGCTTTAAACTCTTCAGTGCGATGTGGAGGCTCAGTTCTTCCCGTCGCAGCATTCAGCATGCGCTGTGACCGAAATGCGGCAGTAGGGGCAGGTGCGCTTGTTAGCATGTTCGTGACCAAGTCGTTACAGATGGATCCGCCCCCCACCCAGCACCACAAAAACAACAGAGCCCAACAAAAAAAAAGGTCAAAAGCAGTTCTCCACCCCGCAGGAGATCTACACAAATGGCCCCATCACCGGCATGTTCTTCGTGCACCGAAGCTTCTTGTCATACAAGTCCGGCGTCTACAAAGCCGGTTTCTTCTTCAAAGATCCTATGCTGGGTGGCCATGCCATAAAGATCCTCGGTTGGGGCACCGAGAACGGCACACCCTATTGGCTGGTCGCTGGCTCAGCTACCATATGAGTGCAGCAGTGAGTGAGGGCGAGCTTCCCGGTTGCTTCTTGACGTTTGTTCAGGTGGCCAACAGCTGGAATGCAGATTGGGGGGATCGTGGTTTCTTCAAGATTGAGCGCGGCACGAACCAGTGCCAGATTGAGAACCCAATCATCAACGGTGGTCCGGTTGCAGGTCAACCCAAGCTGCACTTGGAGGAGTTGGTCGTCTAAGCGGCCACGGCCTGAGGGGAGCTACTTGTAGACAACCGCAGTATGCCGTAGTGGTACTGACATGGGCCCTCCACAAAAGTTGCACAGGGTTCCAGTCAGATTTTTGTTTCGCGATTTTGAACAAGAGCCACGCTGCTCCGGCGAGCTTTTTGGGCACCCGGGACAAGAGAGAAGCCATGTGGCAGTGTCTTCCAGCACCTCTCAGACTTTATGGCTCCTTCGCACAAGTTTCAGCTTGAGTTGCGCAAAAACTCCAGCAGGATTTCCACAGTTTTGGCCATGTACCTTGCCATGACACATCCCCTCGTCCTTTTTCACAAGTCCTCGGCCCTAGAAAGGCAGCCTTTTTCGTAATGCCCGCATGAAGGAGAGCCTTCACGCTTGGAGACGCTTGAAGACCTCTGAAGAGCTGATTCCAGGATGGCGCCTTGCTGGACGACTTCGGCGCCTTCACCGCCTCCGGCCAGACGCAAGCGGCCGCCGCGGCGCTCTCCCGCTTCGTGCGCAGCCAGGCGGGAAGGGCGGGGAGTACTACAGGCTCGGACTGGCGTGTGAAGATCTAGTACTTTCCTTTTTGTGGAGTGTCGCAGCTCAAACGTGGCTAATGATAGTAAGAATCGCCAAACAGCATTTCGCATTCTCCGAGTCTCGTGTTGTGGGAGCTTCGGCGTCGTGAGTCGCTCTCGGGCTCAGGGGCTTCGGAAGATCGTGGTGGCTGCAAGCGAGACTTGGAGCCTGAGCCCACAAGGGCCCCATTGCAGTACCTAGCAGTGCTATTGTCATTGCGATGGATTTCGTTATCCGTAGAGATCTGCGATCTGAGGACATGGACCTGGTTTCATGGCTTGCTCCGGATTGGGTCTGGCTCCCACGGAGCAGGGAGGTGATCTTGATGAGAGCTAGCTGGTGTTCCGGCTGAATCAGAGATTCTGGAAACCCCGGTGGCCTGTGGCCTTGTCGTGTGCAGCCGAGGCGGCCCAAGCTTGAATTTTGCAGCGGGGATGCAAACAGCGTCTGTTTCTGCAGCTGAGCCTCAAGCCGCAGAAATGAGGTCTTGGATCAACGTGGGCACCGGAAGCTCGCTGGAGCAGCCTCTTCTGCACAGCCAACCTCTGCGAGCGCACGGTGCGAAGCTGCGAGGTCCAGAGGCATCCCAGGCGGAACGTGCCCAAGAGCTTTCAGAGACTTTTGGGAAGAGACCGAGTCACCGAGTCTCCTCTGGTCTCTCTGAGTCTCCCCGAGTTTCTGCAGGCTGGCTCTGGTGGAGGAGCGCTTCGACTTTCGCTCGCAGACGCGAGTCTCCTCGCAGCTCCCGCGCCCTGGCAGAGACCCATCCGGGGAGCGCTTAAAGCCCGGGGCCGGGCCCCCCCCCCCTGAGAGCAAGACAGCCCAGAGAGTCGAGAGAGTCGAGAGAGAGCGAGGATGCTGCCTGGCTGGCTCCTGGCAGCTTGGTCGCAGCTTTCGTTTCCTCCAAGCATCGGACATCCTAACTCCGTGGCTATCAGGGCGAACCTTAGAACACTCTTCTCAGGAGGAGGACCTGCCGGGCCTGGGCATTGTTTTTGGGCCTTCGGGCAGCGGAAAGACCACCGTCTTGCAGGCGTTTCAGGAGATGAAGGCCTCTTGCTCGGAGAAAGAACAGAACAGTAGGTCTTTCGACTCAATCCGTGGCATCTGGGTGTTTTCCTGAGGTCTGCCCACCCAAGGTGCCGACCACTTCACAAGGCAGTGATTGGTGATTCCTCCAATGCAGTACAGCCATCGATAAGCTAACGTTCGCGATTATTGCTCTGCTTCTTGTCGGTATTACTTCTTATGAGTGAGTAAAGCACCTCAGCGCAATTCTGCCCGTTCTGGCAGCCATTTGCACAGAGAAGTTGGGAGCGTGGTCCCTTGCACCAGCGTCTGGTCATGTCCTTCAACCTGCGGCCGCTGGACTGTACTTTGAGGGTGTCAGGCTGTGGGATTTGGGGTCGAGGCTAGAGAGCATGGCGTGGCTCACGGACCTGCGAAAAAACTGCAAAGACCTGGCACGCCAGCTAGCAAGACTTCTGCCATTCCATTGCATGTTCTGCGAGATGATGGCGACACCGGAGCAGTGCTGGTGTACAGCGGGCTCTAGGTAAAGCGTAAGTATGGCGCAGGGAGCCCACTCCCGCCGATTTGCTTTCTCACTCCAGACGTCCGTCGCCATGTTGAGGCGCAGATCACCCTCATGTGCATGCGCTTATTCGGCCCACCAGAGCCTGCGCCCACACCAAACATGTTCACCTGGCAGGGTCCAGCCGAGGCCAGGGCATGAAAGTTTTAGGGCACTGGCATCCAAGGAGGATAAGCAACCCTTGCATCTCCACGGGCCGGAACTCCACGATCATCATGGATCCGGCCGTAGACTCAGGGCTCCGCAGGTGTAGCCTCCACGTCGATAATGGCGGAATGCAGAAAGTGAGGGGACGGGAGAAGCAACCGTCGAGCGAGGTTTGAAGGCTCTCAGATGTACAAGGCTGGGTCACAGATTTTGAGAAAGGTTGCGCAAGCCTGGGAGAGAGAAGTCTACAGAAGGAAGCAGTTTGAAAGAGAAGGGTGTGAGAAGGAGCGGGAAACAGCAGAATGAGACTGGCCAGAGAATGCAACCAAGGAGGAGCGAAATGAAGCGAGGATAGAGTGGGAGTGTCGCATGTTGACATTTTGGCTCAGGCGTCGTGCCGTGTTCAACTTACAAGCAGCATGTTTAGTTTCCGGAATACACCAAGATGCAAGGCGCTGTCGCGGAAGAACGGTGGATAGCCGATTATGACGGAAACAAATGCAAGAATCGCATCTGGGCCGGCGAGACGTGGGGGACCTTGGTGTCGCTGGTTAGATTCCGGAGAACACCAGCATGCACGGGACCGGGGCACGGTTCGGCTTGCCATGCAGACCGTGCATCATTTTGACATCACGTGCAGTACGCCAGCACCGACCCTTTGGCGCACATATCCGACGACCAGCCGAAATTCGCTTGGGGACCCAAGCATGAGACCGATAGTCCATTTTGGTGTCGCAGGTTAGACCACCGGAGAACACCAAGATGCACGGGACCGGGACACGGTTCGGCTTGCCATGCAGACCGTGCATCATTACGACATCATGTGCAAATGCGCCAGCGCCGACTCTCTGGCACAAACGGCCGACGACTGGCCCGAAATGTCAGAGGGGCACGACGGATTGCAGATTGTGCCGGAAACAGATTTATGCATGTGTTGAGTTTGGCAGGCTAGGGCGCACATGAATCATCCTGAGCTTGTAATGGGCTGCCATTTTGGTTCAAGTGTGATCCAAAACGGCAGTCCGTCTGTCTTTTGGAGGCGGGGG